TGTGTGTGTGTGTGTGTGTGTGTGTGTGTGTGTGTATGGTGATGAAGGTAGTGAGGCTTGTGTTTTCTTGAAGCTAGTGTTTTATTTATTTGAATTTTGTTGAATGACCATTTAACTTTTTGCATTGGATGTCTCGTATATAAATACAAGTATAGGGCACAGGACCTTTTTCTGTTATGGCAAAATACCATCTGATTGGTGAGAATGATCAGAGCTCTACATTAAAGAATTTACTATAGAAACGGCAAAACTTGCATTTTGGAGTATCATAGGCGAAGGAGAAGCAGGGTTGGTGGATAAACCTGAAGTTTCAAACTTGAATGACTAAACAGTGATGTCAGTAACAACCACAGAAGAGTCAGAAGGCAGTTGTGAACTTAAAAAAATGATTTTACTCAACTTACAAAAATGATTTTACATTCAGAAGCACATACAGTTACCAAAATGATCCCTCCCCCAAAAGGAGATACAATAATTTACCACAGGATCAGGCCTAAGGAAAAGATTAAATTCATCAGGGTTGCCTCTGTCCCCTCTGCTGGCCCTAGTCTGAGAGGATTCATATATTCACTTAACTTTAATTCTAGGGCCAGCTATTTCAATGCATCCTAAACACCACTTTAGACTCCCTTACCCCATGACCCTCTGCTGTCCCACGCCTAATGTACCCTCTTGTTATATTTTTTTACCCTTGTCTTCCATGTGTCAAACATTGCCAAAGAAAGTTATAGATGTGTGCTCATTTGGATCACTGTAGAAAGTCATGCCATCTGTTTCCAATAAGGCTCTCTCTGTTACTCTAAAACCCTTTATTAACTTTTCTGCATTTGCTATCACTCTCCAACACTGCCTTCCCTCCTTTTCTGCCTTATTTAAGTTCTCAAACCCTTCTCTACTCTCAACTTTAATTTCATCAGGTTAAATGTGATAATCCAGTTAGAGCAGGTACCACAGTACCTGGCACACTGAAGGTTCCAAATAAACACTATTTTTACTATTGATATGGAATGAATGACAAACTATCTTGGTTAAAAAGTTCTGGCTTTGCCTGGCTGGTGTAGTTCAGTGGTTGAGCATTAGGGCACATGCCCAGGTTGCATGCTCAATCCCCAGTGTGGGGCGTGCAGTAGACAGCTGATCAATGATTATCTCTCATCCTTGATGTTTCTATCTCTTTCTCCCTCTCCCTTTCTCTCTGAAATCAATATATGTATTATATAAAAAAAAAAAAGCTCCTGCTTTGAATTTAGACAAATGTCAGTTTGAATAGCGATAGTTAATGGGCAAGTTACTAAACCTCTCTGAGTCTGTTTTCTCATCTTTAAAATAGAAACAATACAGAGATTTAGTGAGTATTAACATTTTTAAAGTATGTATGCAGAGTCATGAGGAATGGCTGTCACCGGAGTATTCAATGTTAGCCACCAGGATTAGGGATTATTTTTGTTATTGCAACATCCACTTATTGCATTTTTTGAGAAAAGCATCATCTCCTCTTTGAGAAACTAAAAGTTTTAGTGTCCTCACCTCCATTTAAATGTGCCCCCTTCACTGGTTCCTCCTTCTCCTTTATTTTAAAGTGGCTTCAGGCTTTGCCAAGTCTTTCTCTTTGACCCTTCTAGCTAATTTAATTAAAATTTTATTCCACTCCTTTTTATATTCAAACCTCTGCAATACATGATCTCTTATTTCCTCATGATACATTCCTTCTCAATTGTTACCCTGTTTGTACCACTTATTGAAATGATTTATTTTGTGATCTCCATTGAACTCTTTGACACATCTGAAGACAATCTCTCAATCCTCATTTTTCTTGTCCTGTTTTCAGCATTTGACACTGCTGACCCCTACATATTATTTTTTTCATTGGTAGCAAACAATTTAAAATGCAGGAAATAACATAACCAATATATGTAGCAACCACCCAATTATACCAAATCTTGCAACAGCAAATTTCAGATTGTGTTTAAAAAAAATAAATATGACAGATATAGGTGATATTCCCTGTATGCTCCTCTCCAGTCTCAGTATATACCCTTTCTTGGTGGTGGTTATGCCCTTTCATGTTTTTTTGGTTTGTTGTTGTTGTTGTTGTTGTTGTTGTTTTTTGGAGAGAGGGAGAGGGAGAGGGAGAGGGATTTGTTGTTCTACTTATTTACTCATTCATTGATTGATTCTTGTATGTGCCCTGACCAGAGGACAATGCTCTGCACTAACTGAGCAATCCGGCCCTGGCTTATAGACTTTTACTAATATATATATATATATATATATATATATATATATATATATATATCCATAAAAACATACAATATTTGCAGATTTTATAAAATAGTATACTGTACATGTTTTGCAATATTCTCTTTATGCTCAACATTGTATTTAATGGGATCTAACTCTGTTAATACATATAGTTTGAGTTATTCATTTTAATTTAAAAATAGTAACCAACTTCATGAATACTATGCTTTATTTATCCATTCACCTGCTGATGGACATTTAATTTGCTTCCATTTTTTTTTCTGAGAGTGCAAAGAATTCTGCAATGAACATTATTTTACATGCTTTCTCATGCACAAAGTGCAAAATTTTGCCCAGGTCTATAGCTAGAAATGAAATTTCTGGGTTGAACTATATTACATATACAATTTTATTTTATAATGTCAAATTCCTTTTCATAATAGTTCTACCAACTTATACTCCTTCTCTCTATATATTAGAGGCCCATTGTACTAAGAGATTCATGCAATAGGCATTCTCCTCCTTGATTTTCAGCACCGGTTTTCTTCCAGCACCTGGGACCCAGGCCTTCACTCAGGCCGGAGTCTGCCTTCTTTGTCTTTGTTGCAGGCTCCAGCCAGAGTCTGTCATCTTCATCTTCACTGCAGATTCTGGAGTCTGCAGTCTTCATCTTTGCTGCAGCTGGAGTGCTGGTCCTGTAGATCCCTTTGCCCCCTGCCTTCCCTCTCATAGCAGGCATCCTGCCCTACCCGGCCACTTCAAGTCTGGAGTAGCTGTGTGGCCACTATCTTTGGCCTTCTAATTTGCATAGGCTGGCTGGCATAGCAGAGTGATGGTTAATTTGCACGTTTCTCTTTTATTAGTGTATATTAGAGGCCCAGTGCATGAATTCATGCATGGGTGGGGTCTGGCTAGCCTGGCCAAGGGAAGGGGACATGGGCGGTTGGCTGGCCTTCCTACTGGTCAAACTCCTGGTCGAGGGGACAATTTGCATATTAGCCTTTTATTATATAGGATATACACTGAGTGGCCAGATTATTATCTGTTTAGAAACCATAATAATCTGGTCATTCAGTGTATATATTGAAAATATGTTCTCCCAGTCTGTGACTTGTCTTTTAACTTCTTTATGTTGTCTTGGAGTGCATGCATTTTGAAGTGTAATATAGTTAAGTGTTTCAATCAATTCTTTTATTGTTTATCCTTATAGTATATTAAGTAATTATTCTCATTCCATATTCTGAGGTCATAAAGATGGTCTCCTATTTTCTTCTGAAAGTTTTAAAGATCTGCTTTTCACATTTATATCTTTAATCTACAGATTTAATTTAATTTAATTTACAGCTTTTCCCCCTCTGTGTTGTGATGTAGGGATATAGTTTTATAATTTTCCTTGTGGATGATCTATAGTCCTAGCACCATTTAGTAGATAATCCATTTCCCCCTACTCATTTCAAATATCACTTGATGCATATCAACTTCCATATATGTGTGGTTTGTACTGGGGCTCTGTATTATGTTCCACTGGTCTATCTACCTCTATAACACACTGTCTAAATTACTCTAGGTTTAAAATCAGACATATCGTCCATTGTAGATTCTTGAGCAAATGAATATCAGCTGAAGCATTCCTCTGGGAATAATATTCTTATGAATGTCAACAGAATAAAATAGTCAAAGAAGCCGGGACCGGTTTGGCTCCGTGGATAGAGTGTCAGCCTGCGGACTGAAAGGTCCCGGGTTTGATTCCGGGCAAGGGCATGTATTATACCTTGGTTGCGGGCACTTCCCCAGTGGGGGGTGTGCAAGAGGCAGCTGGTCGATGATTCTCATCATCGATGTTTCTAACTTTCTATCCCTCTCTCTTCATCTCTGTGAAAAATCAATAAAATATATTTATTAAAAAAATAAATAAATAAATAAATAAAATAGTCAAAGGAGAGATCTACCACAATGGCTTACAATAAAGTGATGGTGCAAATAGAGCGAAAACATAATTCCAAAGGAAATATTAACAAGTTTTGTTGACTGATTGGATACAGAGAAATGAGGAAAGAGGAAGAAAGAATATGGCTTTGAAGTTTCAAGCTTGGGTGGCTGTGTGAAAGTATGATGAGTTAGTTTTGTTAGTCAGTGTTGTGGTAACAATGGGATATATTAGGCAAGGGGTCAGGGCCAGCGATATATTTTTGGTCGTTGCCTGCATAGAGGCGACCTGGAAAGGGCTCAAAGATCTGAACTTCGGTGATTTTTTCTGATATAGTGGGTGGAAGGAATAAGAGGAAGGAACATCTGAGAGATACCCAGGACCGCGCATTGTAACTGTTATAAGGACATTTTGAATGGATGATGTGGGTCCTGTTGGCCCGACTCCTTTGAGTTCCCTCATAGATACGATTCTGCTTTATTTCTGTGGCAATCTTCAACGTCTCCAGGACAATTCTGGAGGCAAGGGCAGCATTTAAAATGTATTCCATGCTGGACGTGTCAGACACCCCATCCTGTGGGGTTTCTCGCTGCAGTTCCGCAGGTTGGCCGCAGGGGGCGGGCTCCGCGGCGGCCTGGGAAACTGGCGGGGACGCGAGGCGACGCTCTCTCTCCGTCCAGCTCTCGGCTCCCGGCTCCGGCTTGCCGCTCTCGGCGTGGAGCGTTCCTAACCGACACGCAACAGAGGCGCGCGCGTCGGAGAACTCGGGAGGCAGCGTCGTCGGATCCGCCCGCCGTCCGCCGCCCGGCCGAGTCCGGAGGAGGCCGCCCGGATGGAGCCGCCGCTCCCAGTCGGAGCCCAGCCCCTTGCAGTATCCGCCTGAGGGAAGGAGGAGGGGAGGCCGTGCCGGGCCGGGGTGGGGGTCGGAGGGACAGTGGAATGCGGGCGGGGCGGGAGCCGGAGTCGTTAGGCCCCGAGGCCGAGCCTCGCTGAGGGAGGGGGCCGGCGCAGGAGGCCGAGCCTCCGGTACAGAGGGTGGGCGGGCAGAGGGGCGGGCGGGCCGAGGGGTGGCAGTCTCCCTCTGTCCCGCCACAGTCTACCCCTCACCGGCCGCATTTTAGAGCAAAACCTTGACTAAAACCCACATATTGTGGAGGGTGTGGAGATCAGGGGTCATGTCCAGGAGTCCTGCACCCTGACCCTAGCCCTGAGGAACGGGCAGTATGAGTAAGTAACAGCTCATTCCCACGGTGTAGCCTGCCAGTCCCTCCCAGCCCCAAACACAGGAGCCAACCCCCTTCCTCTCCCTGAAGCCGCCTGGACAACAGGTTCAGGGCCAGGTGTGATCTGCGAGTGCTCTAACCGCAGGGCCTTGTCTCCAACTCCTAAGCTGCAGACTGGCTCCTGGAAGTGCGGCTCAGTGGAAGGACTCACTGGGCAGGGAAGCAGGAAGCCCTGGGTTCTTAGTTCCCACCCCTGCAACTGACTGAGTTGTGTAACCTGGGGCAAGTCAGTAAAGGTGTCTGCGCCTTCCTGCTGTCATCAGTTAAATAAAAACATTAATTGTGTACCCTGTAGCCTTTGCTGTTGGAACTGAAAGAATAATAAACGTGAGAGTGGTTTACAAAAAAGTAAAAGTGTTATAGAATCACTTCATTGTTAACCTTGACCGAAGTGCCTTTTCTTAACCCCATTCAACTGGTTCCTCCAGTCTCCCCACCCGCTTAGTCCACTGGTTAGAAGCATATTCATTAATTCAGTAATGGTTTAATGTAGCCAAGTAAGTGCCTCATTTATTGAGAAAAAGTAATGAAATGTACATAAATAGAAATGACATTTGGCTTTTTTTTCTCTTTGTGTTACCTTCTACTCTGCCATGCATGTAGGAGCTCAGTAAATACTGTTGACTGATGTATCAAATGATTATTTTGATAAGCTATCACTATAGCTGTTGGTTTCACTTCATGGCCACTAATGCCTCATCTTTAAAGTATCTGTAGTGACAATTACATTTCATAGGTCCCTATCTATCCCTGTGTGCTCAAGCCACCTCTCTTGATTATTCACAGGTTTCTTGACATTAGAGTTTAAAAATTGTTGATCACTTAAATCCTGCCATCACTCAACACTGGATTCTGCCTAAAAAACAATTTTTTTCTCAGTCCCTGCTTTTAGGTTGTCCAGACTTAGTCTGTATCTAATTATATAGAAGACATTCCCGCTGGCCTATCCTGCCGTTTTCTGAGACTCTTAGTGCCACCCTATCTGACATCAGCTGGTTTTATTAAAGTAGTTCTTCCCGAGGGCTTTTTTAGTCAGTTCTGTTGATGTAGGAAGCTTGTATTTTTTCCCCCAGGTTTCATCAAACTCTGTAAGACCAATTTAATACAAATCAGTTTAACATAAATGTAAATTGAAACCACTGCCACTTCTCAGAATTACATTGTGTGACGCTAGAAAAGGGTGGAGAGATGTGACCCTTGGGCAAATCAGTAAATTTTTTTGTACCTTGGATTCCTCATGGACAAAAAAAAAAATTATGAAGATTAAATAAAATAGCTGCATTTTTGAGATCATCTTAGCCCAGGATTCAGCTAATAAGGGATGAGCAGCTGGCCTTGAAATAAAAGTCTCACTCTATCTGATCTTGTACTAGAAGAACTTTTAAACTTGCAGTGGTAGCTCTCCTGACTATTTGTCTTTCCCACATAAAATCCAATTCTTGTGTTCCATGTCTGCATAGGTTATGGGGGTATAGCAACAACTAACATTCAATGGCTTGATTTGTGCCAGCTACTCTTCTAAGCACTTTTCATAAATCCCTTTTTATAGAGAGAGAAATTGAGGCACCCAGAAATTAAGTCACTTGCTTACAGATAGGATGTCACATAGCCGAGATTTACACCCATATAACAATCTCAGAATTACATTGTCTGAAGTTTATTTAGAGATCATTTATTAGAGACACCCAATACTATCATTTCATTTATAATCCTCAAATTCTTATCTCTTGAGTTCCTTCTCTGAATTGGGTGTCCAGAACTTTTTTTACTTTAGGCCTTTTTGTCCTAGAACTTGAAGTCTATTTTAATCTTTAGTTCTGGAGTTTCATCTATTGACCGTGGAGAAATATACATGAGAGACTAACATTAGTTAAAAATAGAAAGATTTTTGGAAATGGGATCAAGATAAAATTTCTTTTTTTATCCAAGGAAAATAGATTATGATACAAGCTGTTGTTTCATCTTGAACCTACCTTAAACAAATCATAGTATTTCCTAGGGATAATGCTGAATCCACATTTACAATTTATCACTCTATACTGCTTGATAACTACCAAATTCTATTTCCATTGTTTTGTCATGTTCCTTTCTGCTCTAAAAGGAATGGTTATGTAGCATTTTTTTTGTGTGATTATTCTTAGCCCTACTTTCTTGCCACAATTTATTTAGTGACTAACATGTAGATTTTCATTAAATGCTTGTGGAATTGAATTAAATTCTCAGATTATCTTTGTTTTCTGATGGGCTTTGTGGGGGTTGTGTTTCAGGTGTACAGTGTAAAGAATCAATATTTGTATATGTTGAGAGTTACAGTTTTTTTAAATAAGTTATGGGAATGTAAAATACAGCCCCATAACTGAATCTGTGTTTCTTTTTACCACCGTCACATTTTGCCCACCTCCTATCCCCTTCTTCTAAAGACTACCAATCTGTTCTCTATCTCTGAGTTTGTTTCTTGTTGGGTTTTGTTAAGATCATACAATATTTGCTTGCTCTGTGTGATTTATTTAACTTAGCATAATGCCTTCAAGATCCATCCGTGTTGCCTGTTTTGGGATCATTTTTAGCAATACATTCCAGTTGAAGCTTTACTGCTAATGTTTAACACGGTTTCTAGTTTAGTTACTTTGAGATTATATTGGTATGTGTTCATTTTTCTCAGAGTAAGTTCTTCCTCCTTGACCCTTGCTTTGTCAGCCTTTATTTAGTTTCTGGTCTCCATCTGGGTTTATTAGGACTCTGCTCAACTCATGAACTTTGCAGGTTGAAAGGGTCCCATATTCCCCTAGTCACCTTAAAATGCAAACCACTGCAAATTAAGGTCAGAGCAGGAAAGCAGTATTCTTTTCCTTAATTTATTTCCCTTAGTTCTGTCTAAGCAACTTCTTTCCAGGTTATATCCCCAAATGATAAAATTGAAATCAAACCCTTCAAAACAATGACATTTTTTATGTCAGATGTTGAACAGTTATATTTAGACATTCATATCTGTTTATAGTTTAATCTAGTTGGTTTATTCAACCAATATTTATTATTAGGCAGGAAACAAAGTAAATGTGATAGGGTCTTTGCTTTCAAGGAGCTCACATGTTTGGGAAATAAATATAACTATGATGGAGTATATAAGTGCTGTATTACAGGGGCACACAAAGGGGATGAGGTCTCAGGCTCTGCTTGGGGTATTGGGGAAGTTTTACATGGAAGATAATGTTTGAGTGGCTCTTGGGAAGAAGAGTGTTCCTGGTAAAGAGAAGCACCTGAAAAGTGATAGGTTTGGGGGAAGTGGGAATGTGTTCAGAATGGCCATTTACCAGTAGGTTGTACATTGATTCTGGGCCACAACGGATAAGTGGTGAATGAAAATTAATATTTCAGATGTGCATGGGAATTTAGAATTCTCACATTTTATACTGGGGTGGGGGGGGCAAGTTTTTTAGTAATGTTTACTTTAGAACTGCCAGCATGAAGTTGGAAACCAGAGGAAAAAACATAAGGGATATAAGGGCAGTCTGGTGATACCTGCTACCTTGTTGGCCTCTCTGGTTATTTTGAGTGATCCAGCTGGCTGGGCACTTCCTCTTAGTCCTCCATGAACCTGTATACTTTGAAGAGATAGAGCCATTCTTTGGTAAAAGCTATGGGGATAGAATTATAGAGGTATTTTATGGAATTTTTAATTCATTTATTCAACAAACTTGAGCAATTGCTATGTGCCAGACACTGTGCTAGGTTCTAGAAATACTACGGTAGAAAGCTATAGTCCCTGCCCTTATGGAATTCACACCTAGCTGCTATTAGTTCTTCACTCTGGTATGCATACTCTGAAGGTATACGTGCTGAATTCATGCTCTTAAGATTGTAAGCTGTTCTTAGGACATAGGCTATTCTGTGTTATTTATAGCGTAGAACAGTATGGGTATTCAGATATTGATAACCACTATATCTTTTTAGACCTGGAGCAATATCTAGCTATCATGATGCTCAGATCCAGGGAACAAGATACAGCAAGCCTAATCATTACAGTCTAGATTTGCGTAATAACACAGCACTGTATTTTATTGTTAAATGTTTGGAATTTTCAGTAGCTATTCGTTGATACATTCTTCTGTTTCCTAGGTTAATAATCCAGTTGCACGGGAAGGAACAGCTTGTTCAAGATATCATTCCTATAAATAGCCACTTTAGATGTGTTCAAGGTACTAGCTTTAATTGCTTAGCTAGTTTTATAATGTTATTATTGCCTTGTGTAATACCATACATATTTAAATTTATCACTGTAAATAAAATGAAACATAGTACTCTTTGCATGAACCTACCATTGAGAAGATGATAAATGCTGTGTCTAAGAGAGCTGAAAGGGTTATATTGAAAATAAAAAAAAAACAACAACAACAAAACAAAACACAGAAATTGCCTCCACCTCCTTCCCCCCTCCTCTCTCTCCTCCTCTTCCTCCCCTCTACCCCCCTCCCATTAACCATTCAGCTTGCCCTGTGTGAGAGAGATATTCACAGGCTGGGGATTAGAAATGTAGTCTGTTAACTGTGTAGATAGTCTTTTATGCTGACAGACTCATATGTATATTTAAGTGACATTCGTGGGTTTAATTGACAAAGTGCTTATTGTGAAGTATCAAGGTTGCTGGGATTCACACACATTCGGCACTTTATCCCCTCACCGTTTGAAATTAAAACATTTGGCAATTTACCTTGACATTGGTAAATCATAAGAAAATCAGCTCTGGGAAGGATATATTTGGCTTCCTGCCCTCACATTTAAGGACAGAACAGAACATGTGTTGTTTCATCTGCTACAATGAGCAGCAAAAAATTGGGAGGTTTGTGTAGGAGGTGTTGCTTGTGTCATCTCACATTGCTCTCCAAAGGAAACTGATTACTAGAGAACAAACTCATTATGTTTCCAGTGGGTCCCTTGGCTTCATCAGACAGAAGCATTCTGTATGAGCTGAAGCACCTTGGAAAACTTGAATTCTACCTTGCATGGATTCTTTCTTAAACTACATTGAACTTTTTCTTTGTCCCAAAAGTATATAATAAAAATTTTTGAAAGAACAGAAATGTATAAACTAAAGCAAATTCCCATCCTTCAGAGATAAACACCCACATTTCCCCCTTTTTCTACACTTTTAGAGTTGGTGGGACCCAAACTATATATAGTTTTTTGTCCGTTCTGCATGCCATCATGTTATGAGTATTTTCCCTTGCCATTAATAGTTGTATACTATTCTGTTTTATGAATGGCCCATAATGTAATTAATTTGCTGTGTTTGACATTTGGGTTATTTTCTGCTAGTATAAATAGTAATGGGATAAATATTCCTGTACATAAATCTTTCTACACATCTTTTCTTAGCATTTGTTCTTGCAAGTGGAAATACTAAGTGGATATAACTTTTTAAGGCAGCATGTATTAAGAATTAAAAATACCTGCAATGAATGGTATCCACATTGTAGAGAAGATTGAAGTCATAACCATTCAGCTTGCACTGTGTGAGAGAGACATTGAACAAGGCACCTGCATACCACACAAGTTGCTGTAGTCACTTCACTTTTCATGGTGTAGCACCCTTTGTTGCAAAACCAGATCTTTAGGGAGAAAAGCCAAAGATGGCTTTAGATTAGTATCTTATTAACTCTATACCTTTTTGTACTACTTCTAGAGTCTCTTTTGCCCTCTTAGTATTGTTTTTAATAAGAAATACCACAGTGTTAGATAGGAATCTAGGAAAATATGTGTGCACACACACAGTAGTTCCCCATAATAAAAGGAAGTTACTTCGAGGTTTCATATTTTCTGTTTCCTGACCTGTGCCCTGTTTTGAAAAGTCTATAAATACTGCGTTTTAAAGAATTAGTTATTGAAGAACAAGGACAAACATATAAACAGCTATGTCTTAATGTCCCTCACTTCATCATGCTAGTGAGAGTATTAAAAATGTTTCCTAAAATTGAACAGTTTTGTACCTTACCAGTTGCTTCTGTTGTGCCTGAATAATGGAGCCAAATATACAATCCTGGCTTGTGAAGGAACTAGAAAGGCTGAGTCTACTCCATTTGGCCACAGTCGATCCAGGCTAATCCCAAGGACTCAGTACCCAGAGTGCAGCTAACTAGGAAGGTCTGGCAGGTGCTGTAGGTCAAATCCAGGGAAGCAAGAGAGGAAGAGGTGGGTTGGATCTAGACACTAAAGGTAAAGAAGGAATTTCAGGAGAGCCCTGGAGAGAAAAGAGAACTCTGAACATGGAGACTACTTTGCCCCAATTTATACTTCCTTTTTGGGCATGGGAGGCCTTGGACCCATGGGTACTAGTTGTAGCCTGAAGATAAAGAACTTTGAGTAGTCTTTGTTCCTAAATGGGGCAGGGGCGGAGGTAATGGGATCACTGGGAAATTTTCAGAGACTAGATCTGAGTGTAAAAAGTAATTAACCTCTGGGCTTTTGGGGTCACTTCCTTGGGTTTTTATAAAAATTATCTAAATATGCTCATTATATGAAATTTGTATGTTATAGTTGGGGGGATTTAAACTCATCTTCACTTGAATTAACATGTTATGTTCCCTACTATTTTAATTCCTTGATTTGCTTTGAGGTGTTCCGTTTGGTTAATTATTCAATTCACTTTTCTTTTAGTTGAATTGCTCATAATCTTTAGCATCTTGTACTATTAAAATTCTTTTTTAAATGCTAAACAAAAAAAGCAAAGGATTTTTAAAAATATGTGTTCTAAGACCTAGAAATGGTGATTGAAAGAAGCAGTTTTTTAGTTAGACATAACTTCTTTTGGTTAAACTGGTTTCTCTTCCCTGATCCTATTCTTTTTTCCCCCTCAGAAGCAGAAGAAAATCTTTTGATTGATATAGCTTCAAACAGTGAGTATCTTTCTGAATAGAACTAATTTTCATTCAACAAACAGCTTTTTGACTACCCACTCTATTTAAGACACCTTTTTGCCACATTTTTTATCTTACCATCTTATCCTATATTCTCCATTTTCTTCAGGCAGCCATACAAATAAGTATTTCTTAGGCTAAGCATAAGAAAAAGCAGGTGGCTGACAAGAATTTCTTAAAAAGTTGAAAATACAATCTCTGTTTCTAAGGCTGAACTTCTTTGAGCTATCAGTATTGTTGCTATCAATTAAATCTTTGCTATGGAATTTATAATTATAGGAAGGGTCAGAAAACATTTAAAGCACATAAGGTTTATGAGTTTGTCTTTTATCCTCACTGAAAGATATATTTATTGATTTTTAGAGAGAGAGAGAGGAAGGGAGTAACATCGATGTGAGAGAAAAATATCGATTGGTTGCCTCTCATGCGTGCCCCTACTGGGAATTGAACCCACCACCTTTTTAAAAAACAAAAACAAAAACACATTTTTATTGATTTTTGAGAGAGAAAGGGAAAGAGATAGAGGATAGAAACATCAATCAGCTGCCTCCTGTACACCCCCTATTGGGGATCAAGCAGGTAACCCCGGGCATGTACCCTGACCAGGAATCAAATGGTCACCTCCTCGTTCGTGGTCTGACACTCAACCACTGAGCCACATGGGTCAGGCAAACCATTTGGTACATAGGATGATGATCCAAACTGGCCAGGACATTGGTTGTTTTTTAACTGCTGTTATGCTTTAAGCTTTTTTTAATATACATTTATTATTTTTATATGTTAAATAATAATGTTTTTCTTTACTTGTTATATTCTTTTGGGAGGCTATAGAGTCCCTCTTACCAGTCATACCTTTTTTATCTTAAAAATAATTTTGGGCTTTTATTTTAGCCCCATTCTTTCAAGGCATCCCTTTATTAGAACATTATCTTCTCACTGTTTTCATTCTTTCATTTGTATCTGTTTGAAGCAAATCATTGACTTTCTTTGCAAACTGTTCTTTGCTTATCTAATTGTACTGTATTATGGGGAGGAGAAAATGGGCACTGTTTGATTGTTGTGGGAAAGAGTATGTGACCATAGGAATCTGAATCAAACTGGTTGCCTTATCTCTTGGTTGAGTCCTTGGATGAGTGGAACTGGGCTCTTATCTTGGAGTTGTGAATTGTATACACTTTTGTCACTTTTGTTTAGACACGTAGTCCCTGTCCTTGGCACCATTAATTTGCATTTAACAGTTTGGGTGAGCTTTTCCGGTTTGCGTTACTATATTATTCTTTTCTTTGGAAGTCTTGGATTTTGGAAATCTTAAGGGCTGATTTCTAAAGGTTAAGTAAACTCAGCTCCTGACTTCTACTGCAGGTATCCAAGAGAGCAAATAACTTAAAATATATGTTTTCTTGTGCTTAGAAAGAAGGCAAAAAGAACTCTAAAAAAAATTGAACAAAGGTATCATAGTTCAGCAGTGACTGACATTGCTGCTGAAAGAAGAGACTGAAATATTCTGTTCTTAGGGTAGAAATAGGTATTTTATCTAAAGCTGAAAAATTGAATTAAAGTGTGCCTTTTCTCTTATAAACACCTAGTGTGTGGCATTAGTTTTGTTGGCGCCTCTTAATAGAAATTAGCCATGTGTTACTCTCTCCAGAGTTCAAGTTACTGGATCATAGAAGAGAAATAAGTAACCATTTGAATAAAATTCTTTGTTATTTCTGCCCATTTAGTAATATGCACTGAAACTAAATTTTATCTTGATCCTTGGACTTCATAAATAAATTTTAAGGCACACAGCATGTTGCAGGAGGTGGGCTTTGGGTTTATTAGTGTAAATATACATATATATGCCCAAAGCTCAAGCCTGGGTTTCTGGTACATAGATAGTATTTGAAACCAAGAGAGAATGTGATTGCATATAGAGCTGTGTTATCAGATACTGTACAGTAGCCGCTAGCTACATGTGCCTATTTAAATTAATTAAAAATTAGAAATTCAGTACCTCGGTTGCATTAGTCACGTTTCAAATGCTCATTAGCCACATGTGGTCATTGGTTACCATATTGGACAGTGCAGTTATAGAACATGCCCATCATCACAGTAAGTCCAATGACAATGCTGTTATAGAGTAAGAGAAAGGTTTAGGATTGAACTCGAAGGAACTTTATATATATGTGTGTGTGTGTGTGTGTGTGTGTGTGTGTGTATATATATTATTGATATTTTACAGAGAGGAAGGTAGAGAGATAGAGAGTTAGAAACATCGATGAGAGAGAGTCATCAATCAGCTGCCTCTTGCACGTCCCCTACTGGGGATATGCCTGCAACCAAGGTACATGCCCTTGACCTGAATTGAACCCGGGACCCTTCAGTCCACAGGCCAACGCTCTATCCACTGAGCCAAACCGGTTTCGGCTGGAACTCTATTTTTTTAAAATAAATCTTTATTGTTCATATTATTACAGATGTTCCTCTTTTTTCCCCACCCCTCATTGTCCTCATCCATAGGTGCACAGTTTATGTTCAGTCTCTTCCCACACCCCCCACTCCCCTTTTCCCTGAGAATCGTCAGATCATCCCCTTCCATAGGACAAGGCCCTGGAGCTGCGCTGCTACCGGCCATGGGGCAGGCCCGGGGCCGGCAAGATGGCGGAGGTGGCCAGGCAAGATGGCAAGGGCAGCGGTGGCGGCGGGGCTGACGAGGCGATGATGGCAAGGATGGGGATGAAGGGGAGGAGGACGAGGACGAGGACGAGGAGGCAGAGGAGGCTTGCCCGGAGCCCTCGCCGTGCCCCGTGCCCGCCAGCAGGGGTTTTTACATGGTGCCCACGTTCTCGCAGCTGCCCGCGCTGGGCCGTCTGGAACTCTATTTTTTAAAGGTTAGAGAAAGAGATGCCTTAAAGGGCTCTGAAAATTAGACACCAGAGGGAAGAGAGGGAGAAGAACTAGATAAATATGGTATCATGCCTTTGGAAGAAATCATTTCAAGGAATGGTCAACTGTTGATATCTGCTAATATGTCAAATGAGGTAACTGAAGTGTACCCATTGGGTTTAGCAATATGGAGATTATTAGTGACTTTAACAAGTCAATTTCGGCCGAGACTGGTTTGGCTCAGTGGATAGAGCGTCGGCCTGTGGACTGAAAGGTCCCAGGTTCGATTCCGGTCAAGAGCATGTACCTTGGTTCCGGGCACATCCCCGGTGGGGGGTGTGCAAGAGGCAGCTGATCGATGATTCTCTCTCATAGATGTTTCTAACTCTCTATTCCTCTCTGTAAAAAATCAATCAAATATATTTAAAAAAAAATAAAATAAAATAAACAAGTCAACTTCGTAGAGGTGGTTGGAGCCAAAGTCATATTGGAATGCATTTAAAAGAGAAATGGGAGATGAGCGAGTTGCGACTTTGGTTTTTTGAAGGAGCTGGACTGTGGAGGGGGATATAGATACAGACTAGAGTTGGAGAAAATATGGGATCCAGAAGTTGTTTTTTATTTTTTTTAATTTAAAATATGGTTTAATTTAATGATGATGGGAAATAGCCTACGAAAGGGACAGTTTAAAAATATTCCAGGGAAGTGTCTAGGAATGATTGTAAGATTCCTGTGAGAATCAGAGGGGTTGTAATTCAAAGAAAAGATGGCCTTTGATAGGGGCTGTAATTAAAGAAAATGTGACATTTTCTTTCTTATGTCTGGAGGAAAGGAAAAAATGAGTACAAATACAGGTAGGTTTTCATGTGATGGCTTCTATTTTCTCTGAAGTGTGAAGTGAAGCGAAGCATTTAGCTTAGAATAAGAGTGCTTGAGAAGAGGGGGATGCAAAGTTTGAGGATAAATGAAAAGATATGAAATAATTGTTCTAGATTGTAGTAGGACACTAGTTGACTATGAAAACTTAGGTTGCTCCCTATCATAGAGTGCCCGGTTGAGGTTAGCAATCAATTTATAATGTATGTATGTTACACTCTCTAGTTGCTCAGGTATAAGTAAAGAAAAGGCAGTTAGTTGGATTTCTGAGGATTGGATGTTTGCCAGCTAAGTGCTGTGGGAGAACAGAATGGAAAGGAAGTTCTGGGCTTTTGGAACAGAGCATAATAATGGCATTTGTTTGGTATAAAGGGAAATGAAAGCAAAAGGGAGTGAGTGGATGCTGAGAAAGGAGGGATCGATGGGCTAAAGAGGTTGCCATATGAGCAAGTAAGGTAGAAGGAATAGCAGATCAGAGTGGGCTATTTGAGTTAGAGATTTATGAAGTGGTGGTGTTTCTACGATGAAAAGGTCCAGTTTATAACTGAGGGAGTCCCAGTAAGGACTAATGGAGTAGGTGTCTGAGGTAGAGGGGCAAGGTCATTGGATAAGGAAATTGAAGGCATTGGCTGGGTTTTCTGTGCTAATTTTGAAGGGACCAAAAATTTAGGCAGGAGTTTGAGTAGAGAGGAAGTCTTATGTGTCAGATATTGAGCCCTGGATTCAGAAGTTTCTGGGAAGATAGTAAATGATCTCATGGAGGAAGCTGGTATACACAATGGGTGAGTCTCAAAGGAGATAGGATTTTTCCTAGGAAGAAGAGAGAATGGACTGGAAATGGCATTAGGACAAATAAAGACATGAATTTTTCCCCCAAATTTTTTATTGATTAAGGTATTACATGTGTCCATATCCCCTCATTGCCCCCCTCCCACTCCCATACATGCAAGGACATGAATCTTAAATTACACAGGGTGTGGGAGGCTACAAACAGTCTCCATTTCAGAGAAGTACAGGGGAACCAGCCAGTTGGCAGCTGAGTCTGATTTTTAATCTGGATGCACATAGAATTACTCAAGGAGTAATTTAAAAACTACTAGTGCTTGGGCTTCATCCCCGAGTTTCTGTTTTATTGGCTTGAAGTGGGGCCTAAGAGTCACTATTTTCTAAAAGTGCCTCTGGTAATTCCAATGCAGCTGTAGTTGGAAACCACTGAGAGTTGCAGGGAACGTTCAGAAAAGTTGAGGACCTAGGTATGCTTGTTGATCACAAAAAGTCCAGAAGGTTTTAGAAGGGAGCCAATTAGAAGATAGGGTCATGGGGTAATTTGTCCTCTTTCCCATGCACCATGGGGAGAGAGCATCTAGTGTTATTTTGTAAGCAGTTTCTGGAATATTCTGTCCATTAAATGGGTTAATTTATTTTTAGATGTGCTTAAATATCTTTCAAGGATTGTGAGAAAGAGAGAGACTGTTCTGAGTTTCTATCATGTTGAAACTTTTCTCTCTTTTTTGTTGCTTTTTATATAAATTATCTGAGAAAGGACTACTTGTGCCCTGAAGGAGCATTTCCCTCTATCTCACAGCTGCTCTTAATTGGCAATCTATTCATGCCCCCTCTTTATCTCCTCCTTATAGTGGCACCATCATTTATTTTCTTATTTCTGATCCCTTGGGTGCCTTCTTTTTTTAAAAATTTATTTCTCTATTTTATCTCTTTTCTGGTCACCAAATCCATGGAGATAGAAACTTAAGGAAATGCAGAAGGAAAAAAAAAAGAGTCAAAGATTCAGCAGTGGATTTCTACCATGAGAAACTAGGATTTTCATTTCATTTTCTCATCTTTGTTATTTACAAGTATGAAAGAGTCCAGTTAAAGTCATTTATTAAATGCCTTCTGTCTGCGAAGTCTGTCATCATGTCATTGTCGCCGGTAAAGTGACCAACTATCTCTTTTTGCCTGGGACATTCCTAGTCTTAGCTTTGCAAGTTCTGAGTCCTGAGAAGCCCCTCTGTTGTAGACAACCCTGGGAGACCATCAAAAGCATGTGCTTACAGGCTGCCTCTTACTGTCAAGGAGCTTATAGTTTCCAGGGGGATGAGAGAGCAATAGATGTAAATAAATCAGTTAAAATAAAAAGATAAACAAGTACATAGGTTTCCTAGATCACCATATCCAGATGATAGATGTAGATGATAACTATAGGGCATCAGAAAAGATGGAGATTGTATGTTGTAAAGTCCTAGATAATTTTGCTTGTAATTATACTGTTTTCCAGTTGGTTGTACTTGAACCAGACAACTCATGAACATAGGTCATTATGTTGCTTTTATAAGTTTAACCAAGACATATGTTTTTCCGCTAGTAATGAAGTATAGATGCTTCTTTTTGGAATAATTGAAACCAATCCCATATTCTTCTCATTTTAATTAGTTTATAAATTTGATTGCCTAGGTACATCTGTACCTAGGAATAATCATCCTATTTCTTTTACTTTCTTCACACTTCAGATACTCTTACTATGTGATCTAGATTTGAAATGGTAAGAATTTCCATCTAGGAGATGGGAGGAGGGCGGTCGCAAAATTAATCTTTTGCGAAAATTTAGAAGTCTCTGCATTGACATCTGAGAAATATATCAGAACATAAGAAACTTTGATTTTAGTATATATATATATTTTTTTCTACTTCTATTTTTAAATCAATCTTTATTGTTCATATTATTACAAAGGTTCCTCATTTCTTCCCCCCTCCACCAGGTTCCCACCCCACCCTTTGCCCCCTCCCCATCCCCCATTCTCCTCATCCATAGGTGCACAGTTTATGTTCAGTCTCTTCCTCCCTCCCTTTCCCCGATAGTAAATCCCTTTTCAGATAGTAAATCAGATACTTAGCATTTTCTTATATCAATAATACCTCCACATGCCCAATGATACACTTCACACAAAAGACATTTCCAAATAGGTCAACCAGCCTCATCCAGGCCCCACCCAAGGCACTCACAGATCAATACCCCAGCGCTATACTAACTCAACACATCCAGATCTAAGCCTTCATCACTTGATTCAGCAGACCCTCAAGTTCCCGCAAAAGTTTCCAGCCATGTCTGAGAGGCAGCCATGGGGCAGGGGCAGGCGAGGAGCGAGCTGTTCCGGGCCTGGCTGCTCCGGGCCTGTGATTTTAGTATATATTATATCACTATATTGGGCTGCTCATTGACATGGTTCACCAACCCCTTAGATTTCCCTCTCTACACCACCCTCCAACCCTGCATTACCCTCCACCACCACTATCACACTGAACCTCTTGATCTGGTAGACATGTTTCCTATATTAGAGGTCCTCCTATTAATTTGGTAAGTTGAGAATATGATCCCAAGAAAGCCGTGTATTCCATAGCTATTTGCGTATGGATTTCAATTCTTTTTAGGTGGCTCCAGAATTCGGGTTCAGGGGGACTGGACCAGAGAGCGCCACTTTGAAATCCATAATGAGGAACGCCGTTTGAAGTTCCTGTCAGAGGTCCTTGCTGCACAACAAGGTAACTCAAGACTCAGCAGTTTTCTTTCTACTATTTGAATAGGAATGAAGTTCTGACATGCTGATACAGAGGCAAGTGGCCATGGACAAAGTACCTCACCCCTGAATCTTGATAGCTGCTTTTTTAAAAATTCAAGAATAAACCCAGTGATGGGTTAGGGAACAAATGTCATCTTTAACGACACTGAGCCAATTTCCAGAATCTTCATTATCATGACATGACAGCTTACAACAGAGTGTAATCTGCCTTCTGTCCCCAAATGATCCCCAAGCTGCCCTCATTTTCTTAGTTTCTTCCTTTACATTCAAGAATGCTGCTGGCCCTGCATTTGAGGAGTGCTGAGTGAATGGCTTTTGGTTGTCGTAAATTCCACCCAATGACGGGCTCCCCAGTTTCTGACCATGACCCTTATCTCTCCAGCCCACTCACAACTTCTTGTTCCAGCACAAAAGGACTCATCCAGCTGGTACCAGAAATTAGACACTAAGGACCAACCTTCAGGTACTGAAAAGATTCGTTTTTTTCCCGGTTGCTTTGATCATTGCAGAGTCAATAGATTTTATATAGGTAGCGAATAAAATATTAGTGTCAGGCAATTCCTATGGAGGGGTTTTATGGAGTCCATGCTGACCAAGGTGCACTCCTGATCCTGTCTGTGGCATGTTAGCTCTTCAGGAGCCAGGTTAGCAGTGTAGTTTTAAAAATGCAAGCTCCAAGGCCACACTTCCTTGGTTTGAATTCCAAATTCTACAACTTATTAGTTATATGACCTTGGTCAAGTTGCTCAACAACTCAGAGCTTCCATTTCTTTTTCTGTAACATGGGAAGAGTTTTAATACCACTGACCTCACAAGGTCTTTGTGATGATTAAGCAAGATAAGATATAATCCCTTACTATCAACCAGGCATCGTGCACAATCTTCAATAAATGTTACCTCTTATTATTTAAGGTTCAAATTAACTGTCCTAGTTAATGTGTCAGTGCTCAAATCAAACCCATTGATCAAAGCAAAGCCCTATTTGTCCTGGATAAGTTGCATGTTACCCCCCTCCCCCGCCGCCGCCCCCTGGTTTGATGCTGGATTCTGTATTCTTCAGGGATTCTTGGATTTGAGGATAATTTTTCATCTATGAATTTGGAGAAGAAAATAAATTCACAAAGTCAGCCTATTGGGATTCACAGGGAACCTCCACCCCCACCCACTGCAGGGAGCAGAATGTAAGTCCTATGTCAAAACATATTTCCCATGTAGAAGACTTCTATTTTAGGCAGTTTAACTTTTGGATTTCTCATTTATTTGCTAGGCTTCCACGTGACAAAGAAGCTTCTAACAAGGAACAGCCCAAAGTGACTGATACCATGCGGAAGCTCTTTGTACCAAATAACCAGTCTGGGAAGCGGGAAGGCCTCATCAAACATATCCTGGCAAAGCGAGAAAAAGAGTATGTCAACATTCAAACTTTTAGGTAGGTCTGTCTTGCACTACTGAAGTATAGCAGAAAATGGCCTTTTGATATTTAAGGTATTAGTTTAAATAGCTTAATTAAGAATCAAGGCATAATGAAAAGGAATAGTCAGCTGATTCAAGCCCCTATGTCTATCCAAAATAATACAAATGCCACAATTTCCCTTGGATTTTCCAACTACTAATGATAGATACTATGTCTACTAATGTTTCTATCTACTCTTAGGGAACCAGATCAAGCTCACATGTACTAGAGCAGCAATTTTTAACTGGTGTACTTCAAGAATTTTTAAAACATGCAATACCCGATTATTTAGTCAGGGACACTGACCTCTTTTCCATTAGATCATCAAATAAGAAAATGACAACAGCCAACACAACAAAACCGTCTGGTGTGAATGAATCAAAATTATACCTATTTTTCGTCAGATAGGCAAAAATATATTTTTGTTTGTGCTGAAGAATTTTATTAATTAGTTTATATGCCACGAGATGAAAAAGATTGAAAGTCACTGTACTAGATAATTGTCCCGTAACACAGTCCATAAGCAAATGTGTTTATCTATCTGGCCTGCTGAATTTTCCCCCCCACAAATATTGGAAAATTAAAGTCCACCATAACCACTAGATCTTAACTTATTTTGGTAGTTAATTAAAGAACATTTCACCTAATCCTCTTGGTGGGGAGGTATGTCTTATATTCTTTCCTCTGTATTATATTTTTCATGTCACCCTTACTTGTTGATTTCTTTTCTGGACCTAGTGTGTGGTATGTGATATGGCATGGCCTGGTGTGTATTCCAATGTACAAAGCAATAACACATCTTTTTCTTTATTTGTGAACAGCATGAACCCTTCTGTTCCAAGATTCCAGTCCCATCTGTTATCCCATTATGCCTCATTTATTCTAATTCAATCATAGCTATATCCTATGCTAAAACCTTCAGTTCCTTATAGTCCCCATGATGCTTATATTTGTGTATAAACAGTTAAAACAATCAGGAGTTTTTCCTCTGCTTTCTCCATTAAAACTATATCTTACTTCCAGAATTACAGACACCTGTAATTCTGGAAGTTTTTTTAATTAAAGTATATCTCCTTACAGAATAGTTATCCATATTAGACACACAGCATGAAGATACCTTTTCCCCATAAACAAGCTCTTTTTTCAAGAATGAGTTTGGATAGAGTTGAATTGAAAAGAAATATGTCAGATCAATTAACTTTGTGTTTTTTAAATAGAATTTGGCTCCTTTCTGTAGATTCATCTAATGTAAAAGCTAATAAGCTCGCTGCCTTTGTGTTCCACATGCAGGCGGTTTTTCTTATTATGGCAAAACATTTGAGAAATTATGTTGGCTTATTGTGAACATAGCATTGTATAGAAGTGATGAGAGAACTTCCATTGTTTCATTCATTCTTGAGATTTGTTTTTACTTTTTTTGTATTATGTATTAGATTTTTTGTTGGAACTTGGAATGTGAATGGCCAGTCTCCTGATAGTGGGTTAGAGCCTTGGCTGAACTGTGATCCGGATCCTCCTGATATCTACTGCATTGGGTAAAGAACACGTTTGGCCTTTCCTTTTGGCTGTATATTTGGTGTTAGTTTATGTGAAATTTCGCCTTCCTTTTTTAAAAAACAGCAACACTATTTAGTAAAATCCTGCTGTAGACTCTTAAGTGAGAGTTACTTGTTGGTCAAATTTCTGAGATCAAAAATGAACAAATGCCTAAAATGGTATAAAGAAGCATCTCGAAATACATTATAAACTATATTCTTTACAGAAAACTATATTCTTCACAGAAACTGAGACATGGAGTCAGTTATAACAGTTATTATTTCTAGGATGAATAAGCAGGGGTGTCTGTATACATCTTGCATAGCCTGTACATATACTTATGGGGAGTCTTTTGAAAAGAAAGCTACTTATCCTTACACATCACCTGGGTCAGCAGAGCAGTTCTATAAAAATTTTCTCTCTCCCATTTGTTTTTTCACCTAATGTCTTAAAATGGGACAGGAGGTAGTCAGCTGTAATTATGGGATCTGTATAGCTTTTACATCCTCTTGCTTCTCAGATTCCAAGAGTTGGACTTGAGTACAGAAGCCTTTTTCTACTTTGAATCCATCAAAGAACAAGAATGGTCTATGGCTGTGGAAAGGGCTTTGCATTCCCAAGCCAAGTATAAGAAAGTAAGTCACATTTAATTATCTTTTTAATGTGTGACTAAGTAGAACTGTCTGGAATTTATTGTTATATATAACTTGTTCCAAAAGAATGATTTAATCGTGTGTGTTTTCTCAGGTGTAATACTGGAATAGGGCAGACTAATCCTTTTTATACCTATCTTAGAAAAAAAAAATTCCTGTACTTTCTGATCCTGTATTTTCATTGCTCAGGTAGCTTTTAGGAGAAAAAAAAAAAAAGAAATTTGTTCTTCTAACAATAATTAACTCAAAACAATTACCTATAAGGCCACTGATTTGTGTAGTAAGAGTTTAAAGTTGAAATTGTTCACTGACATTGTCAGAAATGAATGCTTTACAGAAAAGCAGTTTGAAGCATGTGGATACATAGGGTATGTTTTGGAATCAGAGCAAAAATGCAAAGTGTTGTGGTATTTAAATGAATTCTAAACTTGGTCATAAGTTAAGACTTTAGCAAAGGTGGGCCAAATTTGTTGGTCTTTAGAAGGCACAAGGTAAAGGCTACCATAAGAGTTGTTTAAATTGTAGGGCTACCACACTAAGACCTTTAAAAGGAGTTATCTGCCTGAGTAATTTTTATCTATATCTTTTAACAGTGATGTAGTAATATATAATATCCTGATGACGTTATTCCTCTCAAATTGGCCCCTGCCTAATACATCTTTCATACATATGTCTAGCTCTAGTTCACAGACTTAAGATAATCAAAATAAAAGGGAAATTGGAAATTAGAAACTAGGAAGGAGGGAAAAAGTAACAAACTGGGATAGAGGTTTTCTCTTGACTATTTGAATTTTTAATATACCCTACTCCTGATTGGCTAAAAAAGGTGATTAAAATAATGACTCTAGAGCTGAGTGCACTCATTGTCCCCCAAAGACTTTTAACTTACTGGTCAGAAGAACTACTCAAGAGAAATTTGGTTTCATCTTTGTGGAGGTCCACCAAGAAATTAGATGATTTGGATACAGATTGGTATTTGTTACGTCTTCTTGATGGAACTTTAGTTGTGTGAAGTTAGATATGTGGTATCTAAAAAGAGTGGCATTAATATCAACCTTTTCTAACACCTTGAATTTCATAGGTTCAACTAGTTCGCCTTGTTGGAATGATGCTCATGATATTTGCCAGAAAGGATCAGTGGCAACATATCTGTGATGTTGCTACAGAAACAGTTGGAACCGGAGTCATGGGGAAAATGGTGAGTTCCTTTGGAAATGAGCTTATTATTTACGTCCATGTGAAGTTCAATTGCTATTTGTGTCTTTGAACTAACTGAACAATTACTCTTGCCAACAGGGAAACAAAGGTGGGGTAGCAGTGAGGTTTGTATTTCACAACACTACATTTTGCATTGTCAATTCCCACCTGGCTGCTCATGTGGAGGACTTCGAGAGAAGGAATCAAGATTATAAAGACATCTGTGCACGAATGAGTTTTGTGGTCCCAAATCAGGCCCTCCCGCCGCTGAACATCATGAAACATGAGTGAGTGGTTAAGTCTCCTTTAGCCTTGGAATAGTAAGAGCTGAGAAAAGAATAAGCGTGATGAGATACTGTAGAACTATGAAGAGTAAGGGATTACCATTTAGGGATAGGGTTACAAAGAAGAGTGGGTTTGGAGGAATAGATGCATTGAGGCAGAGAAAGTAGGTGCTATCAGAGGAAAGGTTAATTCTGTTAGGGCCATGGTTGGCAAACTGCAGCTGGCGAGCCACATGTGGCTCTTTGGCCCCTTATGTGTGGCTCTTCCACAAAATACCACAGCCTGGGTGAGTCTATTTTGAAGAAGTGGCTTAAGAAGACGTTTACGTTTTAAAAATTTGGCTCTCAAGAAATTTCAATCGTTGTACTGTTGATATTTGGCTCTGTTGACTAATGAGTTTGCCATCCACTGTGTTAGGGCATCTCAAGTAATGCAGGAAGGGTCTGTCCATTGGAGTCGATTTTTATTGTTCTCTAATTATAAAATAGAAATGTTTGTTGTAAATGTAATAAGGATAAGATTAAAAGTAAAAATCCCTGATTTTTTATCCTCTACTCTCCTCAGCCAGTCCCTCTCTCCAGAGGAAACCACTATTGTTTGATGTGTATCCTTCTGAGTCCATGCTGTCCAATATGACAGCCAGGAGCCAGAGGTGGCTGGGGTTCTGAAAAGCAGCTAAGCTGAGCTGTGATGTGCTAATAAGCATAAAATATACAGTGGATTTCAGAGACTTGGGAAAACATGTCAAATATCTAAAATTTTTAGTATTGATTACATGAAGAAATGATAATAACTTGGATATATTGAGTTAAATGAAATTTACTGTTAAAGTTATTTTCACTTGCTTCTTTACTTTTTAAATGAAATGACTAAAAAATTTACATTTGTGATGTGCATTGTATTTCTTTTGAATAGTGCTGTTCTAGACTTTTCTTTATGCACATATTAGCACACACTTATTATATGGAACTATATTGTCCTATTTATTGTGGATCTCTTTTTAATCCAGTATATATAGATCTAGATTGTTCTTTTAATACCTGTGAATCATCAAGAATAGGAATGGTGCCGAAACCGGTTTGGCTCAGTGGTAGAGCGTCAGTCTGCGGACTGAAAGATCCCAGGTTCGATTCAGGTCAAGGGCATGTACCTTGGTTGTGGGCACATCCCCAGTAGGAGATGTGCAAGAGGCAGCTGGTTGATGTTTCTCTCTCATCGACGTTTCTAGCTCTCTATCTCTCTTCCTTCCTCTCTGTAAAAAATCAATAAAAAATATTTTAAAAAAATAAAGAATAGGAGTGGTGGATATTTAAAGACCCCCCAGTGGATCAATATGAGAGAAAGTTTAGTGAAGAATGGGACTTAATAAGGATAGAGGCAGAAACCAATTGAGGAATGGGTTGGGTGGTAGAAAATGATCAGTAATAACAAAATTAATACTGGTACTTGAAATTCTGAGAGGATGATGTGGTTTAGAATAAGTGGTTTGAGATGGGAATTGTAGGAAAGCAAAAGATAATCTCAGGGTATTAGAATCAATAGAGAGTCGGGTAACTGAGGAAAGAGTAGGGAAGGATAGTGATGTTGGACTGTTATTATATTGTCTCAATAATTAGGATCAGATGGAATTCTGCTTCACAGTGGCAAAGTCAAGGCCTTAGCATTAATGGTCATAAAGTTGCCCTGAAGTTCCATAAATTTATTTCCCCAGGATTCCAGAAATTCCATGTTGCACTTAAGATTGGCAGAGAGACTCATTCAGTGCTTGAGTCTTTCACAGGAGAATCCATTTTGGTATGGTAATTTCAAGGTCTCACCTGTGGGGATCTCAGCACATGTAGAGGCCTGTTGGTGTGATGAGAGCCTAAGGATCCCGTGGGAGCCCATAGATTCGCAACGTATTTCAGTCTCCTTTCTGCTTGGGATTTGGAGCATAGATCTGGGGCAGGGGTAGACAAATTGGCTGCAGCAGAGCGCCCTGGACCCACTTTTCTGAGTGAGCCCTGCCTGGGAGAGGTGTCATTCAGATGACACAGACCTTAGTGGAGAGTCTGCAGAACCCAGGGCTTATAGAGGCAGAAAACATTCAGATTCTCTTCCCTTAGAGACCTGGCAAGCAGCCAAGCAAAATTTTGAAGCTAGTCCAGCAAATAAACTACATGTTTCTCTCAGGCAGTTAACTCCTTGGCTTCTGAATCCCATACATACACCGTGTTATTTCCTCATCCTTGTTCTTCATATTTGGAGTGCCTACCCTCCTGCCTATTTTATACTCCCTAGTCCCTCTCAGGTATTGATAGTGCTTGCTCCTAAAGGGCAATTACAGCTTCAGCCACTTGTCGATGGTGACAAACAAATCCTTATCAATAATCTGCCCATTTTTCTTCTCTGATTGATGCTAATTATGGCTACTTCTGTTCATATACTTCTCTTTTTTAATGTTTATTATTTAAATGTTTATTAAATGCTGACCAATGTAACGTTGGTCAGCATGAGCATACAGGTTTCGAGTGTGAGTTTCGGTGTTACACGATCTGTATATTGCACTGTGTGCCTACCACTGAAAATCAAATCTTCTCCTGTCACCATATATTAGGACCCTCCTCCCACCCTTCCCTCTGGCAATCACCACACTGTGTTCATGAATTTTAGTTTTATATTCCACATATGAGTGAAATCATGTAGTTCTTAACTTTTTCTGACTGACTTATTTCACTTAACATGTTCATATATTTCTTTATCCTCAGTGTGGTCATCTGGTTGGGAGATTTGAACTATAGACTTTGCATGCCTGATGCCAATGAAGTGAAGAGTCTCATTAGCAGGAATGATCTTCCAAGACTCCTGAAATTTGACCAGGTAAGTAAATTTTCATTTTATAGGTACTTTCCTAGATAGCAGATAAAATTGTCATGAGACAGATGTCTGGGAGGTGTGTCTTACTCTAGGAATATATGGAAGGGTCTCATTGTCTTAGGAAACAGTGTGATTAGTGATGCAATGAATGCACACAAGGTTTGTGGTGATTTTATGAAGCGCTTAGATGGCAGTAGGTGAGATAGTGATAAAGAGTAAATATAAGGTTATTCATTAACTTTTTACTAAGAAAAAGATTTGTGTCAATGAGTTGGAGGATGGGTGGGATGAATTCAAGAACACTTCCTGGAGGAAGTGGGCCTGCAGCCATGTTGATGTGGTTTGGCAGATGGAATAGGAAAGTTGCTCTATGATTATTTGGCAGGCTCAGCAATAGTTTGGAGGTAAAAGAGGGAAGTCCTACCAGGGAATCGGGAAGCACAAAAGAGAAGTTTGGGACAAATAACACAGACTGTGGTTTAATGTGAACTGATTGAGAGGCTGGGGTTTGTTAAAAACCTGTGGGGAAAGTATTGCTTTGGTAATATTTATATAAAACTTGATATTCTGGGACCTAGTTTTCTGTAAATTTGCCTTGGAACTTAGCACATAACTTGAATTTTTGTTTCAGTTTATGAGTACTGTATGCTAAAACTGAATGCTTCATATTTGAATGTCTTTAAATCCTTCCATGAGCCTTTTGATCTGACATAGTCAAATTTCAGGTGTTTTGCAGTAGAGTGGTTTTTGTAGTGAGCCTTTCTTGGCTGTCTTCCTTCACATTGAGGTTGGTTGGCTAATTTCTTTGCATAGCTTTATCTACTCGGCCTCCAAGGGGGTTATAGTTGGATTAAATTCTTAGTCTTATGTACTTCTAGTAAAATATTTGTGTGAGGATAACTTTCAAAACAATCTGTAGCTCTTCACTGAATTTGACTTTTGGAATTATCCATTCAACATTTGTGTGCTTTTTTTTGTTTTTGTTTTTAATCCTTACCTGACGATATTTTTTTTTCATTGATTTTTAGAGAGAGTGGGAGGAAGGGGGAGAGACAGAGAGAGAAATATCAGTGTAAGAGAGACACATTGATTGCCTCCCACAAGCACCCCAACTAGGGCCGGGATCGAGCCTGTAACTAAGGTACGTACCCTTGACCAGAATAAAACCTGGTGACCCTTAAGTTTGTGGGCTGTTGCTCTAACCACTGAGCAATGGGCTAGAACTATGTGCTTTTTTTCTTTTTTTTTTTTTGAGAGAGAGAGAGAGAAAGAGAGGGAGAGAAGAAGAAGAGAGAGAGAGAGCAATAACAATGATGGAAGAGAATAATTGATTGGCTGCCTCCTGCACACCCCACACTGGGGATCGAGCCTGAAAGCTGGTCATGTGCCCTGACCAGGAATCAAACCGTGGCTTCCTGGTTCATAGGTCGATGTTCAACCACTGAGCCATACCAGCTGGGCATGTGTGCTTTTTAAAAAAAGTAAAATTGTGCTAGATGGTTCTTGTCCAACTTCAGGGAATTTAAGACTATTTATATTTAATTTTTCCATTTTACCTGACTATTATTACCAATAAAAAGTCAGCACAGTGTGCTCATAATGAGCATCCTATATGTTGGTGAATTTGGGTGCTATGGGAATTACATGATTTAATTCATAAGGTACAGAAATTTTATTTATATATTTTAACAGTTGCAAAGGCTGTGGAACTAACTAGTTAGAAATGGCCAATCAACCAGATTGTCACTTATATTAAGACTAGAGGTCTGGTGCATGAAATTCATACACAGGTGCAATCCCTAGGCCAGGCCAGCAATCAAAGCATGAGCATATGGCATGGAAGGGCAGGTCCCAGCTGACTTCTGGGTCCTGGGCAGCACCTGAGCCCTTAGGCCCCCACATGACCTCTCCACCTGAGTCACGGCACCTGAGTCCCCATGAAGATGTGGTGAATGTGGCCAGATGCCACAGACTGGGGTGCAGTGTGGGCCTCTGGGTTACCCAGTGGTGCAGCACGGAAGCTGGGCGGGCAGCACACTCTTTCCCAGGTGGCCTCGCAGACCAGCTCCTGCACAAACCCATAGGAAGCCTAACTGGCTCCTGCCTTCCTGGCAGCTACAGCCTGGCTCACCTGGGAGATACCACATGGGTGCAGGGCAGGCTCCTCTCCGGTGCCTGGCACCTGAGTGTGGGGGCTTCCCTGGCGTGTGAGCCTGGCATCCCGGGGGAGGGTAGCAGGGGAAGTGAGAGCAAGCTCAGTGGACAGGCCACATTCTCAGCGCACCTCTGTCCCTGTCACCCCCCACCCCCAGGTAGCCCACGAAAGGTCATAGCGCATCACCGCCAATGCCTGCCATGTTCTGTGCCACCCCCTGGTGGTCACCACATGTCATAGCAAGTGGTTGAACTCCTGGTCGAGAGGACAATTTGCATATTAGGCTTTTATTATATAGGATAGGATGGTGTGATCTTGCTTATGTGATGCTTCTTTCTATTTGTAGCTAAATATTCAACGCACACAGAAAAAGGCTTTTCCTGACTTTGCTGAAGGGGAAATCCGGTTTATCCCCACTTACAAGTATGACTCCAAAACAGACCGATGGGATTCCAGGTAAAGTAGCAAAAGCCTCCTCATGGAATAGGTGAAGGCCTGATTTTATTTCTGCCCCCCGTAGTGGTGAAGGGCTAGGAAATTTTTAGGTGATGTCAGAAGCAGATATAAAACACTTAATGGTCCAGTGCTGTTATAGAAGAGTTTTTAATTCACATGAACTCAAAGGTGAGCATATTTTTAAAATGTGTAACTTTTATATCAGGGTTGTTGCAGTCTTATGGACTATCTGCAGTACCTTATTTCTCTCACCCTGGAAGACTTGCTTAGATTTTGACCCTCCTGATCTCAGCCCTGTTTCCTTACCTATTGCCGTTTTTCAAACTGTTTCTTAACTATTTGACTCAAGACACCAGAAGATAAAAACAAAGAGCCATGGAAGTTCTTCCAGCACAGTGGTTCTCAGTCCAGAGCACACGTTAGAATTTCTTGGGGACTTTAAAGAATACTGACTTCTGGGCCCAACATCTGCAGCTGCCAGAGAAAGCTGAGACCCACTGTCTGGGGGCCCTTTGTTTCCTAATTACCCCTAGTAAAGTGGCATTGCCAATATATTTCTGGTAACTATTTGTCTTCTACCTATTATCTATTGCTTTGTTTCCTAGCTGGCTGAGCCCCTGGACATATTCAGCTTCTTTAGACTCAGGGAGCACTAGGGTGGGAAGGGAGGAGTCTGTGCTCCACAGAAGCTGGTCAGAAAGTGAAAGGTGACACTGGCAGAAGATCTGTACTCTTGGCCTGTTTCTTCCACTCACCTGACTTGAAATTCAACTGAAGAGCTACTGATAAGAATTTATTTGTGTCACCTTCTGGATCAGGTGTTGCTTATTTTAATAGAATGATGAATGGAATTTTTCCCCACCTTTGGTATTCTATGGGCTCTTACGTATTCAGACTGTCATGCTTAAATGTTAGTTCATTTCTATTACAAACTAGACTTATCCATAAAAATCTAGGTTTAAAGGAGAAATCCAATTACTCATCTCCAGGGAGTAAGCCCAGTCTAGGAATATAGTATTGGATTTTTAGATTTTTACTAGTTGTCTATTTGTTGTGAAGTATCATTGTAGTTTATAGAGCAAAGGAAAAGGACATGTTCTGCATATAATCCTGCCCTTCTGAGGATATTTTAAGCAGGTACCATTATACTTTTCCCCTAGGACAATGTTGTTGAAGGTATAATCCTAATCTTTAGGAGCACTGTTTATTCATTCATTAGATAAGTGTTCATTGAACACCTACTTTGCAACAGATACCATACTAGGGACTGGGAATTCAATGACAAACAAGCAGACACAGTCCCTTCACAGAGCTTGCAATATGGTAGAGATGATAATAGTAGGGGTTGTTAATAAAGAAGTATATAATAAGAGCATGTGATAGGTATTACATTCTTGTGTGGTATGTACTCGTTATAATTCCTTTCTTTATTTGCAGTGGGAAATGCCGGGTTCCAGCTTGGTGCGATCGAATTCTCTGGAGAGGAACAAATGTTAATCAGCTTCATTATCGGAGTCACATGGAACTAAAAACCAGTGACCACAAGCCTGTTAGCGCCCTCTTCCTTATTGGGGTAAAAGCTTGTTTGTGTATTCATTTGTTTATGTATTAAGTATCTATGTTATTAAAGCATTTTTTAGACTCAGAACAGATCAATATTTAAGTGAGCAATAAATATTTCCATAACAAAACAGTCATTTGCAGCATTGAGAAGTTAGTACCCTTGACCCTCCTAAATGCTGTCTTTATGGCTCTTACTCTGCAGGCCTTTTAGTGACACCGATGTTTCTCATGCTGCATAATGGTGAGGGAGTATCCTCAGCTTCCTAAAGTCCTTATACATACAGGATGAGTGGCTTTTCTTCAGAAACTAGTGATCTGGTGCACGAAATTCGTGCACATTAAAAGGGGATTAATTAGAGAAAGTAATTTAATATTGCTATTTGCCCTTTCTCTATAATAGAAGTGTCAGGGATACAAGAAAATTAGTAAAATGTATATGAAAACTGTCCTGTCAGAGTCTGGGGCACATCACGGGACCCGGAGTCAAGTCACTGCCCACCACATGCACCTCAAAATCACGTGAGAACCAGACCTGGTTGCCCCCCCTCCCCCACATTGGGTTAGATCCAGACCTGGCCAGTCCCACCCTTGTCAAGCCCTGCTGGGAAGTGGGCATAGTCTCAGATCCCCTGGCCCAGTGCCAGGACAGGGGTGTGTGGCCTGAGTTCCCCCAGCCCAGACCAGGGCACGGGGCATGCCTTGAGGTCCTCCATCAAGCCCCGCCAGGTAGGGGACGTGGCCTGAGATCCCCTGTCAAACCACGCTGTGTGGGGGAATGGCCTTAGGTCCCTCATCGAGCCCCACCAGGCTGGGGGGGGGGCACAGCCTCAGGTCCCCCGTCAAGCCCCACTGGATGGGGATGCAGCCTGAGTTCCCCCAACCCAGCATGGGGGTGCGCTTTGAGGTCTCCCATCAAGCCCCGCTGGGTGGGGTGCACGGCCTGAGATCCCCTGTCAAGTCCAGCCAAGCGGGGGAGGGATGCAGCCTGATGTCCCCTGGCCTGGTGCTAGGCAGGGGGAGCAGCCTGAGGTCCCCTAGCCCAGCACCAGGATGGGAAACACACTTTGAGGTCCCCTGTCAAGCCCCGCCAGGCACAGGGCATGGCCTCAGGTCCCCTGGCCTGGCACTGGGACTGGGGTGCGGCCTGAGGTCCCCCAGGGGGGCACAGCCCAAAGTCTTCTGTCAAGCCCCACAGGGGCGGGGGGAGGAGAAGGCATAGCCTCAGGTTCCTGCTGATTGCTCCTTAAGGGCTCTAATGGAAACCTGGCCTCAACTGTGGGTACAGCCATCTTTGTGATGGAGGGATGGTCAATTAGCATATTTCCTCTTTATAAGATAGGTAGTAAGAAGTTGAAGCACCAGGAGAGTGTTCCTGGTGGAGGGATGCTGATAGCAGGAGCAAAAGCACAGACTGGTCAGAAGACAACCAAATTTGTGTGTGTGTGTGCTTGTGTGTGTGTGTGTGTGTGTGTGTGTGTGTGTGTGTGTGTGTATACGTACACACATATGTTTTTAGAATATATGTATATTTATATACATTTTTATATATTCATATATACTGTACCTTAAGAAGCATATTATATTTATATATACTATACCTTAAGAAGCGTATTGTCAGCCCTATAATGACATCTTCCCATCCAGGAACACAAGTTTCACTTTTTTTTTAAACTCCATTGTACCCTGGGCTAGGTAAATGGCCAATTATTTAACTTTTTGTCTCTGTTGTGAGTAAAGCTTTTGTTTTCACATTGTATATTCTAGCTGTGTTATTATGCAGGTTATATCTTGGGATCCTGTTGATTTATTACAGCTAGTACATTTAGATGATTTCTTGTAGATTTTCCAGACCTTCAGACATGTAATCTGTAAGAATCTGTATAGTGCAGTGCTTCATAGAATGGATTTTATAGCTAGAACTGCTTAGATTCAATTCCCAGCCCAACCACTTTCTGTGTAACCATGGAAAATTTATGTGACATCTCTATGCCTTAATTTTATCCTCTACAAAACGGGGTTAAAATAGTACCTATTTCTGAGGATTAATGAGGTAAGACATGCCAAACTGCATAGGAGGATAATTACTTTCCTCTGAGTATATGTTGATTTGGGGGGTTTCTGAGATAGGTTATCACTAACATGTCTTATCCTACTCCTGTATTAAAGGGGAATGAATTTGAATTTTTTTATGTACAAAATTAGGGGTTTTTTTTATCTTAAAACATTCTAAATTTTATTGAGGCAATCATGACTTCACTTTTGTGCATTTTGAAATTTTAAAATAATAACAAATGTTCCTCAAATAGTTAGTGTGTGCCAGAGACTGTGTAAGGCAATTTGCACACATCTCATTTACTCCTTCCAGTAATGCTTTGAGTTAAATATTTCTCATTTTTAACAGATGAGCAAATGGAAAACCAATGCATTTAAATAACTTCTTGAAGAGCATTCAGCTAGAAGGATTGCTAAAATTCAAATCTGTTAACTCTAACTCCCAAGCCTACTACTATAGGTGTTCTTTCCACTATCCCACAATGCTTCTATAAGTCTAAAGAACTTACTGACTAGATATGCCTTCAGATACTACTTTTAGCCCACCTAATTTCTAGTTTGTACTTGTTGGCTACCCTGTTTTATTATTTGAATTCTCTTAATTCATTTTTTAAAGGATGTCTTTCCTTGAAACACTGTCTTTCTGATTTAATCAATTAAGCTTAGCTTTTTTGTTGGTATTTCTTTTCAGAACCTTGGAGTATTTGTAATACTCCATGCATTTTACTCCACAGCTTCCAGCAGGATATTTTAAAATTTTTCATGCTTCCTGTATATTTTTATGTCTCTTTAATTAAGGTCTGTCTTTCTAGTTTTTACTACTTTTTAAATTACACAGGAATTCAAAAGCTCTTTCTCTTTAAAATTAAAAATATGTAAGCAAAATTTACGGATAAGGCTAAAGATCTTCAGTTCCTTTTCTATCCCTTTCCCCCCCTTTGACTAAACCCCTTCTCCCCAGCTAAGCCAACTACCCTTATGAATTTATATTTTTTCTAGACCAGTACTATTAAATAGGTCTTTCTGTGTTGATGGAAATATTCTAGATCTATCCTGTCAGCACAGGAGCTATCAGCTACAGGAAGCTGTTGATCACTTGAAGTGTGGCTAGTGTGACTTAGGGACTGAATTTTCAATTCTGTTCACTTTGAAATAACTTAAAGGTCCCTATGTGATGATAATATTGGACAGCACAGTTCTATACCTTTACATATGCTTTTCTGTTTACCCACATATGTTTGCTCAGCTTTGATGTTTTTATTTTCCATATTTGCTTTATAACCTCTAACAGCCTTCGTACTGAATTTGTGAAGTTTTCTATTCTAAAAAGAGACTTGGATCTCAATAAGTTAAAATGCTGTGTTAATTGTGTTCATTTTTGTCATTGATTTATATGAAGTCTTAATAGTGAAAAAAACAGCTATGTCAGGAAGCTGAAAGTGCTGTATCAGATGGGAGGATTTTTGATCTTTTGGTCAGGATGACTTGTCTGTTATCATGCTTTTAGTCTAATCTAGGACATTTTGGGTCAGCTGTTTCCTAAAATGGCCATAGGCTCCATTTACTAACATACCTTTATCATTATGAATAATCTGAGTGTTGATATAATGATTCTCGGCATTGTGCATAACAGCAAAGAGAGTTAAACGTTTTAACCATGATTTCTGCTATTCAACACTTTATGATCATTGTTAGAAACAATAATAGGTATGTTTTGATATTCATTTTGTACAGATCAGGAAATCACTTACAAAATAATCACATTTTCTCCACCCCCAAATAAGCATGGAAAAAGAAATTATTATTTTCAAATATGTTACTATTATTTCCAAACTTCTAAGCACAGAGGTTTTACTTTTCCAGGAAGTTAATCAATTAACCTTACTTTCATCTTACAGTGTGTGATTCTCTAATGTTTAGTTTCATTTATGTTCGCTTTAGTTACTTTAAAAATGTTTTTTACTGATTTTAGAGAGAGTAGAAGGGAAAGAGAGACAAACATTGGTTGCCTCCTGCATGCACCGGAACTGGGATCACACCCACAACCTGAGTATGTGCCCTGACCGGGATCCAACCAGCGACCTTTCGGCGCATGAGATGACTCTCAAACCAACTGAGCCACTGCTTTAGTGATCTTTTAAAAATTGTTAGATTCTTAGAGATATTTGAGAGCCAATAAGACTAAAATAAGGGTCTCAGGCAAAAGTTTTATATAGAGTGAGATAACATAGAGTGTTGAGGATGTTGTTAGAACTGTAGTTTATTTTAAATGATTGCTATAATGACCAGTTATAATTGTTAGGTAGTCTCAAAAGATGAACTAGGAGCATGTAAGACTGAAAAGAGGTTTGTTTTCTTTCAGGTAAAGGTTGTTGATGAACGGAGGTATCGGAAAGTGTTTGAAGATAGTGTACGCATTATGGACAGAATGGAAAATGATTTCCTTCCTTCCTTAGAAATCAGCAGGAGAGAGGTGAGCAAAAACACAAGCTAGACTCTTCTGCTGCCCGTGGTGGTTAGCACGGGGAAAACCATGCGACTTAGAAAAGGCGGCAGAGCCGAGACCGGTTTGGCTCAATGGATAGAGCGTCGGCTTGGGGACTGAAGGGACCCGGGTTCGATTCCAGTCAAGGGCATGTACCTTGGTTGCGGGCATATCCCCAGTAGGGGGTGTGCAAGAGGCAGCTGATTGATGACTCTCTCTCATCGATGTTTCTAGCTTTCTATCTCTCTCCCTTCCTCTCTGTACAAAGTCAATAAAATATATTTAAGAAAAAAAAGAAAAGAAAAGGCAGCAGAGCAAAATGATGAAGATAGTATCTGCTGAAGTCAGATTACCTACATTCCAGTCCCAGCACTGCCATTTAGTAAATTTATGACCACGGCTAGTATCTTACCTCTTTAGAACTACGGTTTACTTTTCTGGATAAAGGGGTAGTTGTGAGGATTACACAAGTTAATACATGTGACATTCTTAAAACAGTGCCTGGTACAAAATAAGCCCTCAGGTTTTAGCTACTCTTGTTTAATATTTTGGATTTGCTGACTAATTCATATCTCAGGAACCCTGACCCAAGGTTAGGTTATCTTGTTAGGATTCCAGGAACAATCAGAGTAGCCTAGAGAAGTAGCAAGGACTGCCTAACTCCTCTGCTGGTGTGAGCATAGTAATATATGAGAGGGGATAGTGTACATCTGGCTCAGGTGGTGAATGTATACGGCAGTCGCATATCTGGTTAATAATGACCTCATTCTTTACTTATATTTTCTATGGAATAATCCAACTGACTTACTTCCCCTACTAGTGATGCATGTTTGTGTCTGTCCTTCCTCAGTTTGTGTTTACCAATGTGAAGTTTCGGCAACTACAAAAGGAGAAGTTTCGTATCACCAACAATGGACAGGTTCCCTGTCATTTTTCTTTCATCCAAAAGCTTAATGACACCCAATACTGCAAGCCATGGCTTCGGGCTGAACCTTTTCAGGGCTACTTGGAGCCAAGTGAGTTTTTCCTATACCATTGTCTCTGCTTGTGATGTACCATGTCCTCATGACTCCCATATCCCCGTCCTTTGTTTAACTTCTTGTTATCTAACCACATGTCTCTTACCTTCACCGTCAGTATATTGGAATACCTCTTTTGTGTGTCTAGTCTCTGCTTTGTCACTTGATTATTTTTAGAGGATATTCCTTCTGTTATTTCTCATCCCCATTTTGTTTTCCCATTGGAAGTTTCTTTTACCATGTGTCATCTTTTACATTTCAGATGAAACAGTAGAGATTTCCCTTGATGTGTATGTCAGCAAAGACTCTGTGACCATCCTGAACTCAGGGGAAGATAAAATTGAAGACATTCTCGTCCTTCACCTGGATGGAGGCAAAGATTACTTTTTGACCATCAGTGGAAATTACCTCCCCAGTTGTTTCGGTACATCCTTAGAAGCTTTGTGCCGAATGAAAAGACCAATCCGCGAAGTTCCTGTTACCAAACTCATAGACTTGGTAAGAACCATCCTAAGATATGAAACTCCTTTAAACTTTTCACAATACTTAAGTGATGTCCTCATTGTCTCTTTGCTTTCTTTTTTTTTATTGGAGGGAGGAGTAGGGTGGGACTGTGGCAGGCTATCATGTGATAAATAAAAATGAGACTGTCACTTACTCTAGCACTACTTACATTAGATTAAGCCTAAAAGGAAAAAGGAAAGGGTAATCTATAAATAGGCTCTTGTCAAGAATATAATAGGTAATATTAAAATCACTGAATTAGATTAAAGGTTCCCTTCTCAAAGATATGATGCTTGTTTGTTACCCTTGTCATACTTGCAAGCCACTTTTGTATAAATTGGCATGTATATGAGGTACAGTAGGTGGGAGAAGCAGTATTATGCTCATTAAACATGTGAGAAAACTGAGGCACAGAGACAGTAACTTTTCCAAAGTGGAATAAGTTAAGACAAATCTATCACACAGATTTTCTGACTCCCAGTCCACTGCTCCTCGTTATATCTTATCTAAGTCAAACTTGGCTGCTTACTGCAGCCCAGGCCTGTATGTGAACCTCAGAATGCCTGCCTCAGAAGCCCTGGGGTCGCTACGCAAGTGCAGGTACCTCCCCGGACCTCTGGCAACAGAATCAGAATCTCAGGGTGTGAGGCCCAGGAATCTGCACATATCAGCATTCCAGAAGATTATAATGTTCACAGAAGTTTGATACATGTTTAATGTGACTCTCTTAAGAAAGGAAAGGCGGAGGATTTCCCCTTCCCTGTCACTAAGCTGTAATATTCATGCCCTTATAGAGGAAATGCTTATATTATCTTTAGGAGCATACATTGACTTAATAACAAGTTCATCCTATTAAGTTTTCTTCTAAATGAATGTATTGTTGGATTTGTGTGCAGACCTCTTTAGGCTCTAAAAGTATATCCTTGATCTTTTGCCAAAGAAAAGTAGTTGACATGACAGCCTGCATTATCACTACCATTAGAATTCACTTGATCCTTTGCCTGGCCAGAGCATGATTGTATCATCTAGCTTGAGGGCTGGGCTAGCAGGCAGACTGCTGGCTTGATGTGTGTGATCTGTTCTGTTGCCATGGAATTGTTTTAGCTATGACTCAGATGGCAGATTAAAGTACTTGAGTCCAGTCCCAGCATTCTTTCTTGGAATTACACACGTTTCCCTAGAGCCCTCATGACTGAGGGTATTACCCCTGTCCAAGAGCAAACCATTTTCTTCAGAAATTCATATCCTGACATTCTGTTATTTTTCAGACTTGTTTTTTCTTAGACCATTATAGTTCTGTCTTTCAAATTTAACATTTAACCTTTTAGAATATATTATAAATGAAGTTGTTTTTCTTTTTCTCATACCCTCTTATCTCTATTCAAATACTATTTCCAGTTTTCTTTGTTTCAACTTTTTTTTATGAAAATGGCAAATGTGCAGAAAAATTGAAAGAACAGTACAATGAAAACTCACATGCTTTACATACATGTAGGAGTGGGATGGGCGAAAGTAGATTTATAGATGCATTACAAATAAATCATACAATAATTGTTAAATACTAATACAAGAATAAACTGTCATGTACTCACAATTGTAAACCTACTTTTGCCCACCCTTGTATATATGGTTTTTTTGTGTGTGTGTATGTTTTTGTTTGTTTGTTTTTTGTTTTTTGGCTTTTCCATTTGAAATTGAGGGATGACATGTCACTTTCACCAGTGAATATTTCAGCTTGCTTCTCTTAAGGAATAGGACAACTTGTGTATAGGCACAGTAGTGCCATTATTATGCCTAAGGAAACGAGGCAGTCCATATCTTAGATTTATCCAGTTGTTCCAAGAGGTATTTTGTTTTTTGTTTTTTAGCTCTCTTAAAGCCAAAATCCAGTTTGGTTTTATACAGTATACTTGGTGAGATCTTAAGTGTCTTTTTTTAAGAGCAGAACAGTTCTCCCTCTTTTTCTTTAATAGAATTGAATTTTTAAAAGTCCAGAACAGCTGTCTAGTCAAGAATCCACCATTTCCAAAATTTGATTATTTCCTTTTCATAATTTTTTAAACTTATCCCTTTTTTAAAAATATATGTTTTTATTGATTTCGAGAGAGGAAGGGAGTGGAAAAGATATAAACATCAATGATGAGAGAAAATCATTGAGCGGCTGTCTCCTGCATGCCCCACACTGGGGTTTGAGCCCACAACCCGGGCATGTGCCCTGACTGGGAATTGAACCAGTGACCTCTTAGTTCATGGGTTGATGCTCAATCACTGAACCATGCCAGCTGGGCTAAACTTATCCCTTTAAACTCCCTCCTCCCACCTATTTCCTATAAACTGGAACCTAGCTTTTTTTGGTCAGAGTTGGCAAAAGCATTACAATACCCCCTGTAATTGTCCCTTATTAAAATGACTGGAAGGAGCTCAACAAGCATACAATTTAAAATTTTTACTTAAAATATTATCAGGTAATTTAACCCTGTTTGACCATGAATAAGAAATAGCCAAAAATTTTAGTGGCGTTAATGGCTCTATAGGAAACTCTTTCCTTCTTTTTGTGCACAAATAATTCAAGGTTTGAAAAACTAGAACCCTGATCAATTTTTCATTACAAAATTGCTGAGTTGTTATTAAATTGTATGTTGCGGTTGTCATTTATTCTTTTAAAGCTTTTATTATGTAGAATTTAGGGTTTTGATTTTTTTTTCACAGCCTGTTGCATTTTCGCATTATTAAATTCCTGTATTTAATTGATGGAAAAATTATCCATATTAGTGTGGGCAGTAAACAAGAAATCTAACAGTGTCTGTACCCCAATTGTATTACCTTTCTCACTCTTGATTTTGCCCTTCTGAAATGCATTGTTCTAAGTCTCAAGATGATATATTTCATATCCCATGAGATGATGCTATTAGTAATGGTATCTGTTGTCATCTTTGTAGTATTTAATCTAAGTTTTGAGTGAAACCAGACATAAGTTCAGTGCCTGTGTTGACTCTCCATGTACCATTTCAAAAAGATTCTTGTGCCAAACCCTCTTGGCATGAGTAATTTCATTCTTCATTCCCATCTCAATGACAGTGACTTTGCCCCTCTCGAATAATTGTGATTAGCCCAAGTGGCAAGCAGGAGAATCCCTTTGTAATTTTTTTTTCTTTTTCAGAATTAAGATAAGATTTTTATGGTTTATTAAGATTAGCATATAATCACCAGTATTTACTTATTACACATTGGATATAAAATACTATGGAGTGTTTGTGGCAATGAAAGTTTTCTTATATAGATATATAATATGGCTAAATTCTAAATTAAGGTAAATAGGGAGTTTGGTTAGAGATCATGTAAACATTAACCACCTTTACTGGCTAATGTCCAGTGTGTTTGGGAAGTCAGTATTTTGGAATGTCATTTAGAATGAGAGTTATGGAGCTTGTAATTTGTGTTAATAATAGATTCCTTTTCTGAGCTGTTTATTCAAGCCCTTATATGCTATAAAAGCTTATTGATTAACCAGCTAATCTTTGTAAAAATCAATCTCAAAATCAGCCTATTTTGGCTTTAATAAATATTCCATGCAGGTAGCATTAACATAACTAGAAATTAGTTCAGCACCTAAGAATAAAATGGATTAGGAAAGTGTTTGGGGGTGTGTCATAGAAGAGTTTTGAGTCAATTCCCCAAGTATTTAAGAAACGTGTACTACTAGGTAAGCAGGCTCTTACAGGCATAAGGGACATAGTACATTAAAGTTAAAGATGAAAGTGAAATTATAAGACTTCCCTGGGAAGAATGTATATTAAAGATAAGAGTGTATAGTTAGAGTGGGGACAGGGGAGAGAGAGTTTCAAAGTCAACAGATGAGTTTATGGAAGAGCCAGAGAACATTTGGAACCAGCAGGAGGCTTTGATAAGTGGTGTGAGTTTGTAAATGGACACATTAGGAGGAACATTCCAGTGTTGCCTGTAGACTAGACTACAAGTTTGTAGTTTGTGTTAACAATAGAAATCTTGTGATTTTTCACTTTTACCGTTAACCTTAATTCACTATCTCCCTTATGTAGAGGAGACCAGATTTGAATGCACCAGATCTGGTTTAAGGTTTGGCTTGTAAATACAGAGATGGGACAAGTTGAGTGGTGGGCAGATAAACTGTACTTGCTAGGGGACATGTCTATTAGGAAAATAATATCAAAAATTTAAAATAATAAGAAAAACAACTCGGTGGTTAATTCATCTCCAGTGGTTTCTCTACTAGATGTTTCCTTTGTATTACTAATCTAACCACCCATTTCTTATCCTGTTAGGTGTATGATTTGTGTTTCTTCTCTTCAATTTCACAGGAAGCAATCCTTTCTAGAACTTCAATATCATTCAGTTTTCTGATTTTAATTTCTGAATTTGAATCTGCCTCTAATTGACTCTTTTACATTATTTTAGCTGCATTTACTACTGGGAAAATTCTTCTAAGGGTAAATGCTGGGGTAAAGAATGATTTGCTATGTGTGTGCCATTTGTAGTGTGCCAATGTTGCTCCACCGGAGAAATTCTGAACGAGGTTCCCTTTTTAAATGTGCTCAATGGTGTAGCCGTTTGCAGAGAGTGGGCAGTCAGTTGAATTAGCAATAACCATAGGGCTACCTTTCAAGTATGCTGTTTATTAGTGGGGGCTAAGTGGTGCTTCTATTTTCAGACTTAACCCTAGTGTTGAAATAACTGAAATTTACACTTTATGCTTGTAGCTAAGAAAGTAAACTCACAATGTAAATCTACTGCCCATCTAATCAAAATCCTTTTGATTGTTCTTTCAGAGATTGCTCTTGTGCATACATTCTTTTTAAAACAAATATGATTTTTTGATTTGTAGGTAAGGTGTTTACTCTCTCCTTCTTAAAATACCTTGATAGCTTTTTGACATTCCCTTTTCCTCTGTATCCTTATCCTTTCATTTCTGCCTCTTCAGGGTGTCAACTTGGTCTTTCTGTAACACAACTTTGGGG